ATCATTTATCTGGCAACAATATATATATATATTACAAGTATCTAAATCAAAATACCGCAAGCCTTTATCATAATGTACAGTATCACGTGATTTGGTAAAATTTTAATAAGTATACAATAGAACACACACAATAGAAATTTTTTAGTGCTCTGATAGCGATACGCAATCATTCATTTACAACCGACTTGAGATAATTTTCAAGTAAGCATATACACATATTTTCTTACACAAATATGAATCAAATAAATTAATTATGTATAGGTATATTATTATATCAGTGTAAAAATTTTTTATTATTGAAGCAGCCGAACAGCGTCAATCACATATATGCATTGAAGATATGTTAGGGGGCATGTATAAAAAAAATCTTTCGAAAAAATCTTTGTTATCGTCAATTGTTGATTAGGTATATTAAAATATGATGTGGTTATAGATCAGCAGAAAAAGTGGACATTGGACGTGTACAGAGACGATGAGAAAACAATTGCTTATAATATGAATTAACTCACAACTGTATAAGTGTAGGTATATAGGCCTAACAGCGAGTCTCCTATTTGTTAAACCTGTTAAAAAAGTATCTCAAGCTCTCTATATATATTGTCGGCTCGTTTAAAACCTCGCGGTACACTTTTTTGATGTCGCGCACAGTAGGACACTAGCCTCAGCTGATACGAGCTCATTGCTCCAATAGTGTATAATATTTACAATTTGTTTGGATAGACTCCCTTTGATGACCACTTCAGTATTTATTTCAGTTTAAGTTAACCGAGAAAAAGTGTAAAATTAAACAAACTAAGAGATTAACAGGAAACTACATGGATAGACAAACGTCAGGACAAACGTCGAGCTCGCAGACGGAGACTGTTGTCGACGGGGCGACACAGGTAAGCAATGTGATACCTACATAATTATTTTTTAATTGCCTCTTTATTCTTTACGTACCTATTTGCGCTACGTTCCGTAAGTTCAGCACATAAAGTTTAGAGTAAACAGATAAGGCACACACATGCAGGCCACAGTTTTTCGCGTACTTACTATGTAAGTATTGTTTAGGTAGTAAAGTGTCGGTGTTTGTTATGCATGTGTGTTGTGTTTGTATAAATTATCAGAAAGCGATCAAGAGCTTTCGAAGCCTCATATTAAGTGCAGTTGTTGCTTACGATTCTTTAGCCGATGAAAGGGGTTTATAAAAATGTTTACAACTCTAAGGTGCAGACACCTTGTTTCTAAGCTAGTTGCAGTTGAACAGATAAAACTAGGCCAAATATGCTTTTATTCCTCAAATAACGATGACAAATCTCCTCTGAATGGCATCAGAGTTTTGGATCTTACTAGAATAATCGCTGGTCCATATTGCACCATGATACTTGGTGATCTGGGAGCTGAAATTATTAAGATTGAACAGCCAGGAGTTGGAGATGAGGCTCGCAAGTGGGGACCACCGTTTATCAACAACACAAAAGAAACTGCCTATTTTGCTAGCGTCAATCGTAACAAGAAAAGTGTGTGTATTGATCTGAAGAAAGGCCTGGACATTGTCATTGAATTAGCTAAACAGAGCGATGTGTTGATAGAAAATTACGTACCTGGAAAGCTAGCAAAGATGGGCTTAGGCTACCATCAACTAAAAGATGTGGCCCCTCGCTTGATATACTGTTCCATAACCGGCTATGGATCAGAAGGACCTTACGCGAGTAGGCCAGGATATGATGTTATAGCAGCTGCTATAGGAGGTCTTATGCACATAACTGGTGAGTTATCTTAAGTAAGTAATCTTAATTATTAGTGCCAAAGGTAAGTTTTATTTTCTGATTATTTTTCATTGTTATAACAATAATGTTGCAATAAATTTAATATTTTTTAAAGGGCCAAAAGACGGTCCTCCGTGTAAGGCTGGTGTTGCAGTGACAGATTTAGCTACTGGACTGTATGCTCATGGAGCAATTATGGCGGCTCTTTTCCAGCGCATGAAGACTAATAAAGGACAGTGGATTCAGTGTGATCTCCTATCTACCCAAGTGGCCAGCTTAATAAATATTGGCTCAAATTATCTCAATGCTGGTAAAGAAGCTACAAGATGGGGCTCTGAACATGAAAGTATTGTCCCTTATGAAGCTTTTCCAACAAAAGATGGTTATATCACCATTGGAACCGGAAGTGATTTGCAGTTTCAAGATCTTATGAAAAAATTAGATCTTTCTGAACTGCTTGATAATGATAAATATAAAAATAACATCAACAGAGTGAAGAATAGAGACGAATTGTTGAAGATTCTAAGAGAAAAGCTGAAACAGAAGACAAATAAAGAATGGAATGAAATTTTAAAAAATTCAACATTCCCTTATGGGCAGATTAATACAATAAAACAAGTGATTAATATTCAATCACGTTGCTCAGTTGTAATGTAGCTGTGTAAAGGTCTAATGAAAATATTTTACTCACTAGGTATTTGAAGATCCACACGTACAACACATGAAAATAGTTAAAGACATGGATCATCCTATTGCTGGAACAGTAAAAGTTGTGGGTCCACCAGTATGGTATTCATATGCAAAGAATGCTGTAAGACTTGCTCCACCAACGTTAGGACAACATACATTTGAGATTTTGAAGGAAATTTACAATAAAGAGACTCTACAAAAGTTGAAAGAGAACAAAATAATAAGCTAATATTTTTAAAATGTTATGTATTAAATAAAGTATTAATAAATTTATAATTGAATGCATATCACGTAACTATGCAAACTTGAAGATCATTTATCTGGCAACATTTTATCAAAAATCAAAATTTTAAATTACCAGGGCTTCTACTTTTCAAGTCTGCTTACTTGTTAGTCAATCCACGTAGATTGACATAATTTTAATTACTCTTGTTAATAAAGCTTTATATTTTATCGCCAAACGAGGTATCATTTACTAAAATCCTTTGATCCACATGGAAATTGCGTACAGAAGCAATAAATACTGAGTTACCAAGAATTTTTCATATAACTAGCATTTCTTACAGGATGTTCCAACAGTTAGATTGCGTCTTAGGAAACCAAGATCAGACAAGAAAGTACAATGGACACAAGGAACAGTTGATAACGAAAATATGAACAAAAAAAAGTCAAAATGTAATTAATAGTTTTGCTACCAAAGTACTTGATAATTAAAAAACTATCATCATATTAAAATATGATCATGTTTTAGGCTGTTGCATTTATGAAAAGCCGAAAAAATTTGGCGAAAGCAGCTCAGAAGAAAGCGACGACGAATGTGAACATTGTCATGGACGTAAAGACACTCACAAAAACCCGCAACCCACTAACAAGGATGAACCACCTGGAGAAACAATTCCATCACATCCAGGTAGAGATGATTTTAATCTACAAGTTCTTCATGATGATTAACGAAACTTTTTATTTTTCAGAACCGATTGCCACAGGTGGTTCAGCTTAAATTTTTCATGTGTAAACCGTTGAAATAATTTGTCTCATTAATCGACAGATAATGGCAGAGCGTAAATCATGTGGGGTATCATGTCAAAATGAAGACATGTACACTCTAGGCACTTTATATTTGTCGGAACGACGAAAAATTACCTGTTAAGTGACAGTACGTCTTTGTTATATTATACGTTACAGGATATCATTGACTGTATGTAGACCAATCGTTCCGACAGATATAAAGTGCCTCGAGTGTACATTGGACTGTGATTTTAATTTTTCAAACATTTACATTTTTTAATAGATTAATTAATTCTATATGTAATAGAAAAATTGGTCTTGCTTTTAAATGTTAGTGCAGGTGACTGTTTCATCAATGAAAACTGTTCCACTAAGTAATTAACCCTGAAAAAATATCTAATTTATTGTTCATTGTATAGATGCTTAAATATTTGTCTTGACACTTCAAATTATAAACCAATCAAAGTTAAGAAATTTTATTAAGTGTAAAATAAAAAGAATTTTTTTAATTAATTTTCAGAAATACTGCATAATTTTAGAATTGTTATAGGTTTGTATGGTTTTAAATATACAAACAAATTGTTCCTTTATTTTAAAAATATCTTACAGGTAAGACATTTTTCAACCAGAGGAGTTAAGGATAACGAATCGTTTAAAATAAATCAATTAATTAGTAAGAATATTTAATCTTATATTGGAAAAATGTTTGAATTATACAATTTTACAGCACATTATTCCGCAATAAAATGTTATAAAGTCAAGAATTTATTCCATGTGTAACATTCCATTGATTGGTACTGTTCACAACATTATTAAGAGAACATGAGCATACTTAAGGTTAAGCAGGGTTGAGACGAATAACTTTATATAAAGAATATTTAATGCTCAACAAGTAAACAGCCCTCGATTTCTTAGCAAATGCTCATGACCCCTCTAACAATATTTTAATTTTTTCGATTCAACACACCAGTAAAATATAGTTCTTTAACCATAGATAAAACACTACACGTTTACTTTTATTTTACTTTATTGCGCTTTAAAATTTAAAAATATTTTTATGCTTGTCATGGCGCTTTACTGTAGTCACTTTTTTTACTTTAAAGTTTACTTACACCAGTGCGTATTACATGATTTATTTTTTATTGCATGTCACAATTATGTACAAATTTTCAGTAGCAAAAAATTTAATAAGTACGTTTCGTTTCGAATATGTATAGAAAATATAGTCATAGCCCTGCAGAAAACTTAACAACAATTGCACATAACATGAAAACGATTAAATAATTACGTAATTTGTTCCTTTTCCTTTTTTTAGTTACTTCATTTATTACAACATTCAATTTTCTATTTAAACATTTTCACTTCATTTTTGCCTTAAAAAAATAAAAGCTCCTATATTTGAGGTATCAAGACAATTAAGTTCAATGTGTAATAATTATAAGCACATTAAATTCGTCTCAACAAATCAAATATTCCCAATCACGATATCAATATTATGAATCTTATTTACAACTTGGTAATGAAAATGTTTAAATAGGAAATTGAATACTCCTTAATCAGTCGACGTTACAGTTGCTTCTGTGATATTTTCGCCTGTTTCTTACTTCCATCCCTCTTCTGTAAGCAACCTCATCAAGACCTAGTGATTTCACCATTGCGCGGCTTCTCCATACTTTGATTGTGTAATCATCACTTGTTGTGACTAGCATTTCGGTATCACGAGGGTTGAAAGCTACCGAATTAACTACGTCAGAGTGGGGAAATTTGGCCAAACACACGCCATAATGTCTGTCCCATAGGTATCCGTGTTTGTCTTCAGCACCACTGAAAATTTTTCACAAATGACGAATGTGTAGAAAATAATGATCAATTTTATATGATTGAAGAGCTGAATTTGCATACCTCGCGACATACTCGTTGCATACATCTAAAAATATGAAAAAGCACTCATTGTTGGGCGTATAAGCTTTGTGAGCTCTGAGCATTGTGCCGACTTGTTTCAACGTTACCAAGTCAATAACGTGAATATCAATTTCTTGCGCTATTGGTGGAGGTTGCAGTGGATTTGTAATTACGTAACCTCGTGGCCATGGCCGAGTATTAATGTACAGATATCTGGAAAAAAACAGTTACATAAAAAAAAAATTGACAACTAAATGGATTCTAAATAGTAGTTATGATCTAATCAACGACATTATTGTGAGGGGAGGTACTTGATTTAAATTTTTGATTTGTTAACTCGTATGAAAAAAAAAAAATAAATAAATAAATAAAAACCTATGATCAGGTGAGAGGCCCATTCCAATAATATGGCCATGGAGGTCAATCAGATGATCTATTTTATCGAACTTATCGGCAACTGAATCATAATCTAGCCAATTAGGTTCCGGCCGCAAAGAGCCACTATTTTGCATTTCACGTTCTCGGTGTCGCTGAGCTATTCTTTCCTGTAGAGACGGACCAGGATCGAGTCTTCGTGGAAATGTGACCGGCTTTATTCTTTTGAAACCAACTTGATGAGGTGTGTACGTTTTCGAGCCTGTAGTAAAAATCAGGAACTTTTCAGGACAGTCGGCTAAATCGTCGGAGTCATCAAATTCTTCAGCGGATAACGAATCTACAATAAAAATAGATTTTTTAATTGACAAAACTTTATTTAAGTCCATGTGTTTGAGGAATATTACAAAAAAAAATTTACCTTCTTCTTCGCTATCTTCCCATGGAGGACTAGATTCATTATCACTATTATCGCTATCAACAACTTCTTTTTCCATTTCTACCTGCCGATATTCGTTATTGTATTTTATGGGGCTAGCATATTCAAAACCATCACCTAATTTTCTCCAATTCATAAAGCCACCTTCTAATGTACTATACCTGAGTAAAAAGAATTTTAAGAATAAATGTAATAAACTGTTTGTTACAAAGAGAGATTATTACAATGCATTACTGTAATCTAGATGACGCATGATGTAAAACTTCAGGCTCTTCTTTTGTACCCTGGCTAGTAGATGCCATTGATATGTCCCTGTGACTCAATGGATTTCCTTTTTCTTCTTTAACATCGGAACTGGACGGTTGATTATTTTGTGCGTCAGTTTCTGTTGCAGCAGGGGACAAACAATTCGCAACCATAACTGCTCTGATTGATGATGCATTCCCATTGTAAAACCTGCAGAACACAAATAACGTTACTAATAAATTTTTTTTTTTCCAACTAAAAAAGTAGTCAGCGAAAAGTTGACGAATTATTATTCATTACCGGTATAGTTGATTCATTATAGGTACATGCTCACTTCCTGTCTCCTGATTAGCCTTATTCAGCCATAGAATACTTGTACTGACTAGGTGTGCTAGCCAGTGAAGGCCTCCACTCAGCAGATACCGTTCACTGTACCAGGTACCAAATATGTCATATGGTTTGTTCATAACTCTACATTGGAGTTCAAAGCTAGCTGAAAAAGTTAAAATTAATTGAAGACTGCTACACGAGCAAACCTATATTTTTAATAAATATTTTTTCTACTACCGACTTCATAAAAATTTGAAAATTATAAAATAACAATGAATGATAAGAAGCAATATTATATTTTACAAGTTTAACTTCAAATTATTTTGTTTTAATTTTAAATAATATAATTCAAGTCTGTTTATTTTATTCTCAAGTTAAGATGGTCACACATGTTGCAAAACAATGCGCTGTATACATATATACACGTATGTATCAGCTTATCACGATTTAATATTGAAGCACAAGACATTTTTAGATGATCTATTTTTTTTGGCACCTATTAATTAGGCTATGTTATTAATGGCACTTTACAATTAAATAATTATATTGATACCTCCCTTTGTTGCAATCAAATTTAGTAGAAAAAAAAGATTGTTAATAAAAAAACTTACGTGCTAATCTGAAGACGGCAATTTCACCTGATGTACTATGTGGAGTGCCAAAATGAACCCCAGAAACTAATAGTAAGGTGTCTGAAGAATTGAACTGTGAGAATTGTGTGTACTTCCAACTAAATGTTTTCATATCGTGATGATATTTAATTGACACTGGGTGTTGGCTGTTCCATACCTATAAAAAATTAATGTCACTGATTAAATAATTTAGACTAATTAAGAATCTAATAAAATATTGTTACGAAATGAACTGCCACTTACTAATATATAACCATCTTTTGAACAAGTAGCAAACATTTTTCCGTTGTGTGAAAAACTAACATGTAATACCTGGTGGGAATGTTCTCTCAGAGTTTCAGTTTCTACCAGTGGTATGTGATATGCCAAACGTTTAAATTCTTCAAACCAAGACGTTTTACCTGAAATAAATTAAAAAAAAATTTTTTTTTTTCCGTCAAAATAATCATTGATCATTCATTCACCTAATAGAGGAAACAGTTTTTGATTATGATTGAAACATGATTTTATAAATCAATAAATATTTCCCAGGGAGCACACACAAAAACACTTCTTTCTCACCTGGCATAATACCAACATTAGGGTCGACCTTGTAGGTGCGATAAAACAACGCCTTCCACAGCATCTCGTCCTCCGAGACTCTGTTCCACGTCCTACACGTCCCGCCAGCAGTAAGCAATTCCTTAGGACTCAAGTATTGAAAAATACTCAGCATCACAGAGTCGGGCATGTAGGACCACCTGTCATCGCACAGCATCTCCTCGTCTTCCTGATGTTCCGCTTGCTGCTCCACATTAAGCTCTGCTGTATCACTTGTTTCAGTCTGAAGATCCTCCTGTTGCATTATCTCGTGATCCTCCTTCATCTGATGTGAAATTGCATCTTCACTGACCGCAGTGACATCGGACTCTTTAGCATCGTCAGGATCAGCTTCAGCCTCACTTTCCGGTTGCTCCATCGCTTCTGTTGCAGCAGCAGGCGCGTCGACGACGACAACTTCGACGACGTCTTCGGCCTCCATCTCTTTCTTTGTTTACGGCAAAACAGCTGATCCGATTTGCTTGAATATATGTATATATAATCGAATGGCTATATATACACACAATGTACGAGTGCTACGACGTATTTAAGTACTTTATAACATTTATGTTACAAATTGTGTACTTACCTACTCACGTATTATTCAGAAACCTATCACTACGTTGACGGCTTCACTTTGGAGTTGCTTGTAGTTTTGGCAGTGGTTTGATTGTTAATAACGATGACAGGCGAACAATGTACTTAGCTTAAAATATGGAGGACTGATATCAGACAAGTCGAGGGATAAGTAATCAATTCCCCAGCAGAGAGAGTACTATAGCTGCCTTTAACGTTGAGCATCACACACGAGCGATGTTCAATCGCAAAAAATTGCCTCCCCTTCTTGACGTCACACTCTTCCATTTAAAGGGATAGGACGACACAAAGGTTAAGTGTGTGATACTTCATCGCGGCAGATGATCTTGCAGGAAAAAACCCATTGGAAATATACATGTACGTTGTTATTATATTTTTTTTTATTGCTGCCGTCGTCTTGTTCTCGATAAAACTCAGCGCCGAAAACGCCAAGAGCCAGCTGCCAGTTGTTCCTCACAGCAGTTGTCTGAAAAAAAATTATGAGTGTATAGGTAATTTAATTAAAAGGCTGATTGACACCAAAGACAACAAAAGGGGTAATAACTTTGATAAGGACCGAGAGATTTCAAAATATTTGTTTTGCAGATTCGAACTTTACTTTTAGTTGAGCGTACTTTACATCTTGGATTTTATTTTCGCGACGATTAAATTTATTTATACACACGTATGCACGTTATATGTAAATACATTGTATATACACATAAGGTATAATTATACGCAAAAATGAAACAGATCTATCTATAAGCGCAAAATTTTTTCATATTTTGTCAACGGAGAAGCGCAAGCGCGGTTTTTTCGTATTTTTGTAAAATCGGTTAGGCATAAATGTCAGAATAGCAGAAACAAAAAACACCACACTATTTTGCAGTTTTGCCACTTAGTTCGAAAGTAGGTACCTAATACTCAATACCTATAGGTAATTTTTTTGCTATTCAATGTTTACCAATTGTATATTATATATGTGTATATGTACTGTTGATTTAAGTAAGTGTACATCATATTATTGACTCTCCAAACAAAGGAAGAATCATCGACCCGGAGAATGGAGATACGTTAAAAAATACGTCTTCAAGTAAGCACATAAACGTTTCGTAAATGATTTGATCTGCATCTAACAGAAGAAAAAAAGAAGAGAAGAGAAAAAAAACAAACCAAGAAAGTGCACGCTCGTTTCGAGGTTAACTTCTTAATATAACGCGCCTTAAGAAGTATATAATATTTGCACGCACAATAATATTATTATTAGGTATTAATTTATATACGAACACACACTGCAAAAAAACTATCCTTCTTACCTAGACACATTGTACAATTGCAAAATTCATTCACGGACTACTCAATATATAAAATGAAAAAAAAAAAAAAAAAACAAAAAACAAACAATGCATGAGAAAACTTTTTACGCGCTACATTTAGGTAAAAGTTGTGTACACAACGCGGTGAAGAACAACGCGTAAATGAAACCGCGTGAAAATTTCCGTTCGCTCGAATACTTATATTATGTTTACTTATAAAAGCGGAGGGTATCCGCGTAAGATATTATATGATTTGTTCACTATACATATATTATGAAATTTATCACGATCCACCTGCGTGATCGGCTCTCTGCAAGTCAACAAATTGTCGTTGTAGTGGCTGCAATGCACTTAAATAAAATATAAAAAAACACGATCTAATTGAACTATTGAACAAAGATTTTTAAAAACCCAAGTAGTAGGGGGAGAGAATTGATCTTTAAAAAAAAAAAAAAAAATATATTTGTATACAAACGTGTGTATATACAAGTATCAGCAGGTGCGTGTGCGTAAAAAAAAGACGACGACACCAATACTAAAAGCGCTAATAAGAAGTACAGTGAAGTGAATAAATAAAAAAATATCCTCATCACGGTAAATTACCATGATTATACTTACCTAATAATCAATAAAATAAAAAATAAAACGATCAATAGAAACGAGAGAAGAGAAGAGATATGGGTATAATTATATACCACGTACCTGCACTGTAACAAAAGAACACGTCGCGTACGTGTACTTATACCTTCTGTACGTTTGAATCTCCATTGGCAGACTGACTGAATTTATTATTTTTTTCTTGTTTTATGTTCTCCAAAGGATGTCTGTTGTATCTTGTATCTGCACGCAGTCATGCACTAACCGTGTATGTATTATCTCTCGACTCTTTTACCTACTTAAATTATATATCATACATATAAGCATCGATCTCCTATGGCTACAGCTATGAATATAATAAACAAATATTGAATACATATTTGTATTTACATTTTATGAATTCATCCACAGATGAAGCAGCACAAAAATATTTATGGCAATTGTAAAGTAAGGCACAAAAGAGAAATAAGAAAAATGAAACGGACGGAAAGGCTGCGCTGATGCGTGCATTGTATCTCATTATATTATTTATTTTGTTACTGAATTGAGGTATTATCATGTTAATTTAACCACGTACTTAAAAAACGTGTAGGTTGGTTGTATGTACAATATACCAGTACCAGCTAGTGCACTATTCTTGTACTGTTTACTGTATGATGAGAGGTGCATTGTAAACGCAGAGTCAGCTTACTTACTTTTTCGCGAGTGTCTTGTGCAATTGTGGTAGGGCATATTATAAGTACATATTGCACAACATACGTATATCGTGCGGTAGGCGATACGGTAAATAAATAAATAAATAAATACGGTACCTACTTACACCGCTGCAACGTTACATAACACGACATAACATACCTACACTCTCACACACGTTTTATCGAACCATCCGATTTCCGCGCGTACATCATATACAAAGTTATTGCTCTTCACTTAAACTTAGCGTTTTTTTTTTTTTCTTCCTCAATTTATAATAATCCAAGTCGTCTGTTTTATTTTATCTTCTGTAGGATACCTTCAATTGTACACGTATAGTAGTCGGCGATTTAACCGAAAGTAATTATTAATTCATCAAGCACATCCGGTACAGGAGTATACGGCAAAAATCCCGTTCCATATAAGTTGCGGGATCAGCGGTACTTTGTATAGAGAGAGAGAGAGAAAGAGAAGCGCACGGTAGCATCATCTCTGACTGACAACTTCCTCCAGCTGCGCTTATTTATCCTTCCCTGCAATTAAGAAGATTATTATTAAAACTATTTTTAATAATAACTATTATATTATATTACTACGAAAATGTCCGATTCACTTTTCCTCACTCTTTCTTTGTTCTCTATCATATAGCTCTTTACTACTGCTTAGTTGAAATGTACAAACATGGTAGTATTGCTGTACCTCGAACTGCTGATATATTGTCCATAGGAAAAAAGGCCACCTGCATTACGCACATCCCCACCAATGCCGCTGATTCGAAAATTTATTAGTTCCCTCGTCATTTGTAAGGATATCCGCACGTACATGTGCAGTCACCCTCGCTCATTTATAATTGTAAAAAAAACAAAAAAAAAAACACCTAACTAGAGAACGCCTTTTGCATCGATTCGAGAAAATAAAGAGAAAAAAAATGTCACATACGTCAGTGGAGCTTTTTATACATATATACCTAAAGTTCGCACTTCCGCAATGCGACGCGTGACTCCAAAATTCCTCTCCCCCAACACAAAAGAGAGCCGCGTACTTATCGAATGGAATATAAATATTCACATTTTCTCATGTACAACTATATATACACCTAATTAAATAATAATATTTAAATAAGCCTCATCCCTAAAATAGATATGTTCAAGCGCGCGTGCACGTTTTTTCGTATAAACGTTAGCAGTTAAAAAAAAAAAAAAATACAAATAGCAATCTGTAGTTTACCAATAAGTATGCTAATTCTAATCTGTGTAAAATGTAAATTGTGTTGTTTTGAATACGTGATACATTCACGCGGTATACATGTATCGCGTTTGATCGTTTTTTTTGCTATGAATATTTTAAACAAAAAAAAAACGATTGGTAGCATCGCTTTGGATTTTATTAATCTTGATTATCTTGAATGCCACAACTTGTAGGATCAAAGTGTTTTGCGAAGTTGCTAGAAAAAGTATCGAAATCTTCTAGATAACATAGCGTACAATCGTTGTGACATGAGTGTATACACAATACCAAACGAGTGCATAACGTCAGTGGTAATATACTTTGAACTTTGAATAACCGATAAAATTTTCATAAAAAATACGAAAAGCCAACAAATAAAATCATGTAGCTCGTTATCTCGTAGAAACTATATCGATGTCTGATATATACTTACCATGAAGCGATCGAGACGGCAAAAAATTAAATTCCAGGCCAAACGTGTTTCTCTCCATTCACCATTTTATTTATTTTTCATAAAATTAAATTCCATGGAGTTCAATAAAATTTACTTTTTTTCCTTTATGATTAATATTTTTCTTTATTTCGATTGCACATGTTACGCAAATCATTATTTTTATTTTCAAGTTTTCCATCACTACATATCATAAATAGATTCAATATAGGTACATAATTGTTTTTTTGTTTTTTTTTTTCCATTTACATATAACTTAAGACACCGTCACATTAAAATATACAGGTGTTGTAACATTTCGTAATTCGTAATATCCATATACATAAACATTTATCATCTCTAATATAATCTTTTACGTTTCTTTTTGCCCACGCACTCGCGCACACGTTAATTCTCGCACTCGTTTTCCGATGCTCACGCAATTAAACATCCAAATCAGTCAACAATAACAAAACATCCGTTTACTTTTCTGTAATCATACCTCTATGTGTTTTTTAAGCGTAAAACGTAACAAAATATACGTACAAGTAGGACTCACTGAGTGTAAGTATACCGGAGTATTCTCGCTTCAATAAAACTCCTGGACTTTATTTTTTCATTTAGTATCTAAATTAGCCAGTAGGCTTTTTTTTTTTAACCTGACTTTATAGCTGTTGAGATTGTTTATTATTTATCACCAAACGAGCTTGCACTATTTATTGCACAAGAACTTGCAGCGCAAGCGAATGTTATTTTCTATGATTAAGAATGCCGTTGCTTTCAATTTCTTTTTCACGATTTGAAATTTTTTTTTACATGAATGAAGACGAGAAAACAAAGAAAATTGGTCATCGCTAATTAACTATATTGGTCATGTTTCAATTTTTAGATTTAGACTAATCTAAATGAGATTTTTTAAATACACATATACACACAAAGTTGCATTACTGCGTACATATATCATGCAATTTCAGGTTGCTGATGAGCTGCTCAGACTATATTCCAGTCTGAATAAATGCAGAGAAATATATTTATACACGTCTAACGTATAGAGATCCACAAAACTTTAAACGCTTTTAAAATTGTTTCTATTTTTTCTTTCAAAAAATATTGGATAATTAACAAACAAAAAAAAATAGTAATAAAATAACAACTCGAATACACGAATTTAAGCAATAACTTACTAGTGCCGCCTTTAAATAATCTTTGATCAGACAAACAATTAAATACACTGTATCTTTTAAATGCACAAAGGTAAAGCTTTGCGAGATCTATTTGCGTTTAAACTATACGTTAATTAAAAAAAATGATAAAGAAAATAAAAAGTTATTTACAAATTGTAGGATTCAAGCATTAAAACTTAACGATATGGAAACAAAAGTTTGCGATTTCCTCTATCAAACCATCATAACCTATTTGCACAATTCTGCCAGATTGTGGCCTGAGGTTTGCTTGACTAAGCTTATAACGTAAGCTCGACGGCAGTATGGGATAAAAGCCATTTAATTGCTCTCAGAATAAAAGTTATGAGTCATTAAAAAAAAATAAATAAAAAAAAAATAAAAATAAAAATAAAAAAAAAATCGTTCAAGACTGATCAAGGAGTTATCTTCAGACTAACCAAATAGGCTGTCCAACAATAAGTAGACCTGTCCATTAAATAACTTGGTAATCAGGTAGCTATTGTAATTAACGAAAAATATTCATCGTTTCGTTATTAAACAATATTTAGGAAGAATTTAAGAGACCTCTGTTCTGCAGTGAGTCCTGTAATGTCTGGAATAATTGAAGTTGTTGTTCTGGTTTTAATGAAAATACCTACAACATTAATTGATTCATATTGTAACTCACACTTTTAAGTGATTTAAAATAAATAATCCCTGTTTAACAAACCTGTTGCAAGAGTTTCTGGGGTGTAGCTGTGTGAATAAAAGACGAGATGTACACATTAACAAATGTTGCCATTAAATATTGACAGTCGAATCTGTCCATTATTCCTCCGTGACCGGGTATTACGTCACCAAAGTCCTGAAATTTTTTTTTAATTAAAAAAACTATTTTTACAATTGCAGGTTGTACAATGATATTATGCCCTACCTTGATTTTAAACGCTCTTTTGAAACCACTTGCGAAGAAACCACCAAATGGTCCTATCACTGAACTGAACACAGACAATGACAAGGAATGCAACATAAATGGATAAACCGTGATGGTTGACTTCCAATTAAACTAAAAATAAAAATTTAATAGATTAAGGATACATATACATGGACTACAAAAAGACAAAATGAATATAAATTTGACAGTTACTAGATTAGGTATGACTAGTAAAGACTGTGGCACATTATATTCTTGAGGCTTGAACAGGTAAGAAGGTTCACAATCCATAGTCATCCTGCCAAGAGTTTCGCTATATTCAATGGGACAAACGAAGTAACGATACTGACACATAGCGTACGATATCTGAAACATTTCATTGTTTGATTAAAAAAAGCAAGTACGTGAACCGCTTTTAATCAAAGTAATTTACAAACCAAGACTCCAAGTGCGACAGTCGAAAAACCACCGCCAATAAAGCCTTCCCAAGTTTTTTTGGGTGACAATTGTATCAATGGGGTTCTACCAAAGAAGAATCCAAACATATATGCCATAACATCGTTAATAACAATCATGCTGACTGGTACAATGAACCTGGAAAAATCGCAAACGGAATGATAAAATTGAAATTTTTATGAAAGCTTGTATCAAAAATATTTAATTGATCTCACCATATTAAGCCTTCAAAAATATTCTGAATAATTAAATAACTTTGAGTAACGACTATTAACAGAGCAACGTGTGTCCAGGCAAACAAAGAAAACTGTTTCATATAGTACTTTTTCACCAGTGAAAGTACAAACCAAACGAACCCGATTATGTACAAACAAAATGATAAAAATCTGTGATACGTCACGAGGAATCGTAAGTAATCCTGAAAAATTCATTACATAAGTTTTTGCATTACATTAGAAGACAGATTTTGAAAGCTCTTTAAATTTATCGACGCCAGAAGCCTTAGTGGTTGTTATGTGAAATCTTACAAGTTAAAGCAATGATACATAACTACGAATACTATTGATTTTGCATCGTACGTTTGAACGAACTTTTTTCTTCCATTGAAATTAAAAGGAAATAAATTTTTTTGATTAAAAAATAATTTAAATTTGTACACAAAAAAATTAATTGATTTTTTTTCTTCGTTAAATTACATTATTTTACTCACCGTTCTATTGATAACGACCGCAAAGTAATCCATTAAATTTTCTCCATAGAAAAAATAATTGGAAGTAATTAAAAAGTACCAAGAAAGCGAACGAAACCAGGGTAATCCGTGAATCCTGTACACTGCATATCCAATGTTGATGATTTCTTCAAAGCATTTTACTTGTACAATTAAAACCTGTGGATGAAAAGATGACAATGTCAGTTGGTGCCAATAATAAGAAAAGTACCCATGTTAAAAAAAAAAAATTCTACCCACTGTAATCATTAATGCTAGAGGACCACCATAAATGATTAGACAGAATCCTCCTATCATCAAGAGAGTAAAGATACCCCGAATGACCCAGTTTTTCCAGCTACAAAACATATTAAAACGAGTCATTGAAATTTTACAAAGGATTGTCTTTTCGCATTGCACAAAAAACAATTACCGTGGGGGTAAGCCGGCAAGTGCAGAATCAAGCAATTCTGGGGTATGATTTGTCCCTTGTGGTAGTGTCTTTGCAAGTTCATCAACATCAAGTTTCGCATCATCCTCGGACTCCACATCTTCCTTCTGTTAATCAAAGTAACGAGCAAAACAGATAATTTATGAAACAACAGGTAGAGTTGATAAAACGTAAGCGAAACTCTTTATTTCACATACGCTATATCGAAAGCTCCAAAAATTATGAAAGCAGATAAACTGCAATACTTTAATTTCACAATAACATTAGCAGATAAAAAATCCATTAAAAAGTGCTTTAGAGCGAGATATGGGATATCAAAAACGCCTTCCAAAAAGCTATGACATCATTACTTTTAACGAAATTGTAAAAAAAAATGTCAAGTACAAAAATTTTGTTAAAGACAGTCAAAACCAGTAAATGCCAATGTCCTAAAAAATGTTCCAAAAAGCCAATATCATAACATATATAAATAAGCAAAGACATCAGCCGTAAACTCCAAGTTGTCGCAAGTATATGCACTTAATTAATTGACCAAGTTTAAAAATAAGTTGCGCGCGCGCGCGTATGCTTCACAGAATTAACAACAAAAAGCAAATAATGCTCGGAAGATTGTGCCGGCTAGCCGGAACTTTGCGGTTTTACATGTTGCAAACGTATAACGTGAGTGAGTTATCAAAAGTTCAGCCTGATAAAGAGGATAGTGTAAGTAATAAGTATTGACAAGCCGCGAGTGTATGTAATACAAAGGAAACGAGTCATTCATTGACAGAACATGATAGAGAGAGAGAAAGAGAGGTATCTTGTACATTGTATATTTATGTTATACCCGATAAGCGTCGACGCACTTTAGTTTATTTCGTATCGTATGCTTATCAGAAAATGCACGGGTACGTAATTATAGTCAGCCGGTTACTTGCGTTTGCGTCTACTTATATACTTGGACCAGTAAAAATATTTACTTCATACCTGCATACTGCGATGCCAAAACATGTCGTGTATACGTATTTGTGTGCATAAAAATACACAAGATCTATACAGTATGAGTGTGTGCAATCGCTAACATTTCCCAAGAATATTTACGTCAGTAGCAATTGTTATAATAAACCTATACGTATATAAATGATCATCATGTATACGATCCTTGGTGCGTGGGAAGAGGGTAAGTGTATATATATAAGGTATACATGTATCTGCACTCGTGGGCGAGCTCAAATTATAAAACGACATAGCATGTGAAAAGCTCGCGATGTTACATACATGAACAGGCTTTTAAGAATTACTTAAAAGAAGTAAAAGTAGCCGCGATGTACGTCAATGTGAGGTATGAGAACAGGAGGGATTGACGCAGAGGAATTAAGTATTATAACACTGCAGGCTCCGGTTCCACGCCTGCACGGATTTGTTGTTCTTAGATAATATTATATCTTTGTAGCCGTCGACCACGAATAATTGTTAAATAGATTGAACAAAGTAAAAAAGGAACGAACAGAAAAAAAAGATTCTGGTAAGGTGAATAAAAGAACAGAATCAGAGGGCAAGTGTCGCTCTTATTTTACTGCATAATTAACAACAGGTGACTTGCTACTTTTTCAAGAGTCATCATTGCATGGACTCTGTAGAGTATATTAGGTACCCCAATCCCGTATAAACGAGTACACAACAAAATTATGCAGGGGAAGGTGGTTTTAAGCAGCACATGACAGACCTGATCCTCGACAGCGGTATCAGCGGCCTTAGGCTCGGGTACCGTCCTCTTGCGCACCTCCGACATGACGGTGGCTGGAAAGGGCGAAAGCGAGATGTAATAGGGCGAGCTCGGCACTCGGTAGAGCCTCCTCCTCAGGCTACTGCAGTCACAACAATAACAGCGCGTCTCGTTGGCGCGTGACGAGGCCACAGCGCTTTTTTTTCAATTATACAGTGCTTGTTGTTGTTGTTGTTGTTGTTACTCTTCTTCTCGTTTTTGCATTTGCTATGTATATTGTTTGTTGTTAATTACAGTACACTGTACTATTAAGCCTGCAGCCAGCATGGACGAGCGCACAGGCCAAAGAATGGAGTTTACACATGTTTGTCCACCCCGACTACCCCGAGTCTCGCATCCACACGATGATCGTTGGCTCTATTTGACAATCAGCTGAATCAGCGGGAGGACAATAAAAAGAAACAGCACTGCACGGACACAACAGTCGGATAAAAAATAGAAACGAACACGGGAGGAGCGCACGCGTATACGGAACACCTGCCGATGATATGGTTTGTTGTATATATGTTATCCGTGCATGCAGCAACAACACACGGCGACAGACAACGATGCAATGATAATTTATTGTGATGATGCGACGATGATCGCAGGAGCAGAAGACGTCCAAGAGCGTGTATAGCAGACAGGTTCTACATGTATATATATATATATATATATATGCGTGTGTGTGTTAAAAAATATAACTTATCCCCTCCTCTAAATGTCACTTTCTTCTGTCTCTTTCTTTCTTCTATCATATGGACAGATTCGGAATTACTCGGCAAGGCTCGGCTAGACTCTCGGGAGTCTCGGTGTCTCTCGGGTAATCAATCGAACATGTTTTTTTTTTCCCTATACATATATACTTATTAATTCCCATTCATAATAATCATATGCTAAGTACTATCGTAAAAAAACAGAATCTCTGCAAAAATTTACATAGTATGTTCTAAAAAAGAGTATATAATATCATATTACTCGCGGCGGGAAGTGAGAGGGGAGATACAAAGATATATATTTTTTTATTTGCATTGAATTTGCATATATTATACTACAGATATTTACATGGACATTGTGTACTTACTGTAAAAGTGCACGTGCTTTTATTATGTATTACGGAATTATCGTTTAATTCTTGCAGTTTGCAGATATGTACCCTATATATATATTCTTATAATTGATAGGGTCATTGACTTTGGTAGAACAATCAAGGCAAAACCGGAGAATCGATTTTATAATATATTAGCGCCCGTGAATACTTAGGGTGTGCTTTAAAAAACCCTTACGACGTGTTATTCGAATCATAATCGATCTAAATATGACTCATGAAACAATTAACAATGGAGTTATCAAGATTTAATACTTTCAAATGTGATAAAATAGCTTTCACGATAAGTATTGTTTCTTGGTGGTTTAAAACTCGAATTTTTAATTACTCCCGAATTTCAAAATTCGAAAACTAACCCATGCCTATGTATTAACACCTATTTATTTTTTCACTTGAAAAATTTTTTAGACAAATTTAGCTATTTCTTTGATCTTTGATGATGTTGAATGTTGATTTACCATTTCTCTGTGTTCGATATTTCGGACTGTTTGGAGTCATATTAATTTTAGTTGTCATATTAACGAACGTGTGTATGATTTTTAGTTTCAAAATTGATATAAAGAGATGCTATTTAAAAATTAAATTTTTTTTTATTTTCTTATAAAAGTATTAAATATTTAACACATAAAATAAATTATCTTAATATATAACTTGCTTTTGATAATCACATTCATTTGTCAAAAAAGTAGTAGGAACTAGGATAATTGGGCTGATGGGCAGCACATTTATCCTCAATAAATGATCAAGATTCCTTCAGAGCTTTCCTTAATTCTTTCTATTATTCGAGTAACTTACGAAAAATTTATCTCGCATTAATCAATTTCACTCTATCGTCAATACTTTTTTTTTGTTCCTTGGTTAATTTTATGCTATTTAGAATCACAGCTTTTTCGTTCTTTTTTAATTGTATTTCCATTAATTCATCCATAACTATCAGTTTTTGCTGGGCTTTTTTTAAATCCTAAAAAATATTATGTCAAAATTTGTAAAAACAAAATATTTCCGTTATTACATCTTAATTTACCTCTCTGAGTTGATCTTTAATGCTTGGATCAGTTTTACTCTGTTTTCTTTTTTGACTGAACTCTTGAGTACTATATCCAATAATCTTTTCTAATATCTAAAAGTGAAAAAAAAAAGATCACACATAGATCAACAAATAGTATTTTTAAGTAACTACAGAAAAATGTTATGATACCTCGGAAGAAAAAACAACATCTAAATTTGCAGTATCATCTGAAATAGTACCTTCCAAATGAAAGTATTGCCCTTTTTCGTTTTTAAGCAAATTTAATTTAACAACATTTTTTACTTTTCCTCTGACTATTATACGTGCTGAGTCCATTTTTTTGCATAACTTCAATGAATCTTTCAAAAACTCACAGCATTTTATACCATCCTCAGTGAGTAAGGGGGATTGTTTATTTTTAGTAGAACTCGCTGGATTAGTAGGACTGGTAAGAAAATCTGTTATTTTTCTTCCATTAGATTTATTAGACTTTGGAGTACCACTTAAACGAGGTACTTTTTGAGGAATATCTTCAGAGGAAGATGTAGAAGATGTGGCATCCTGAAAATTGTACATATTTTTTAATCGAAAATGAAAAACAGTATGAAATTTTGTTTGGGCTGTAATTAAAAAACTTTCTTACTCGTGATCTTTTATTTCCAAATTGTTCGGAAAAATTACTTTGACTTTGATTTTTAGCCTTAACTGGTAAGTTTTTTGTATCTGTTACCTTGAATTTTTTACTATCTGCTTGTTGATCAATACAGGACTTAAAGTCTTTGTTTTCTATAGCTTCGAATTCAATGTCAAATTCATCATTAAATTCCATATCCATTTTTGGTAAAGAATCGTTCTCAATACCAAAATTAGTTTCACTTGATGAGTGCTTGGAGCTTGCACTATTTTTACTACCACGAGATAAACAATCGTTATTTATCTTTGATTCCTTTGACTTGGATAAACTAATTGATAATTGATTGGATTTTTCAGTATTTGTGCTGACTTCATTTTTGTTAAAGTAATCATAAAAATCATCCGTTTCCATATTAACATCACCTAAATCAAAATCATCATCTGGAATACTAAATTTTTTTGTAGTGTACAATTTTTCTGGAAGATTATTATTTCCACCTTTACTTGAAATTTGGTTTGAAACACTTTTCAAAGTATTATTTTTATTTTCTTTACTAGTATTATTTTTACTGGCGCTAATCGAGCTGCATGGTGCAATGTTTGATAAATTTGTTGTACTTTGAGACTTTGATTTGATAGAAGTTGTAAAAGAGTCTGTTAAATGATACATTTCATCATCTGTTGGAAAGTCATCAACAATGGAATTTGGTGTTGCTTTTGGTAAATTAGAGAATTTGTTACTCAGTGGTGTGGGTAGTGGAGGTATTTTAAAAGTAGGTTTAGACACAGGTATGCTTTGAAATGCGTTGTCATCAACCATTTCTAAAAACGAGTCTCCATCATCTTCGAATTGAATCAATCTTTCTTTATTTGCATTGTTATATTTTTGTTGCGGCGTTTTATTTTTATCCACAGTGGTTCCTAACGACTGTTGACTTCGTGATCCCGGAGTGTTTAAATTTTCAGTTTTCTTTAAGGTAGAAGAATTTTGCCTCTGATGACAATTTGAGATATTCACTTCAGACGTTTGACTTGGTGTATACCTCAAAGATGAAGATGTATTTTTGCTGATACCAGAAGTTTGTTGATTAATTTGCTTGTCAATCTGATCTAAGACTTGTGAATCGATATCAAATTCATCATCTGTTTGAATTGTTGCTTGAGTGGATTGGGTTTGATTGTTTTGAGTTTTCTTGTTATCATTATATGGATCTGGATTTTCTTCTAAATTTCTGTTGGATATGTATATAACAATAAGAAGGAGAACATTTTTTAAATCTTGTGCCTCAAGTAATTAACTACAGCTATAACTTACAGAGCTCTGGCAAAAACATTTTCTACAGCATTAGTAATTAATAAACTATCAACTTCACCACTGATGCCCATGATATTTGTCTCTTCCAGTAATATGACACCTTTTCTGCATATGACGGGTCCTTTGATCATTACTTTGAATCCCGGAAATAAAGTATCCTAAAGGAGAAGCATTACAAGTATGTTAACACAGTTCAGAAAAAAAACCGTCTATTGAAGAGAATTTTTTGCCTTTAAAAATCTTATTGGATTATATTCAATAGCAATAACATCTTGCACTCCATCGGTTAAAAATAACTGTAACATCCTTTTTGACTTGGGCTCAAAATTTTGAAACTTGTCATCTTGTGTATTTTCACGTTCAGTTGCTTCAACATTTTCAATTGACACATTTCTTATTTTTTCAAGTTGCTTATACTTAGACTGGGAGATATCATATATTTTATCCATCTGAGAAAAATAATATTACAAATATATTAAAATGACATCAATAGAATGATGAGAAACTGTGTTGAGTAAAAACCTGAAGTATATATTTTCCAGGAAGTGTCGTGCATTTCTGTTGTGCCAAACCTCTAGGCAGGCATCCTTTTTCATTGTTAATTTCTCTTAAATCATACAGCGCCCATTGATTCATAACAAAAGTTATGATTTCTTCTTGTGATGCCTAAAATGTCAATATTCATTACCAATAACGACTACAACAATATTGAGCAAAAATCCATGAGTGTGTATAATGGGAATGAAAAAAACTTACATTGGAGTGTTCACTGAAATAATATTCGATGCATTCTGACAGCCAAGAATCATTCATTGTATAATGTTGTTTGTTTAAGGAGTTTTTCACTCCCCTAACCAAGGCCTCGTTCATTCTGTCACTTATTTGTGCTATTTAACAATTTATACAGTAGCTTTTTCCCAAAGAAAAGATATTTGCACAAATACCGCACATTAAACGGTTTTAAAAACAAGTGAATTTTCAATTCACCCCAACAATTTAGGTATTTTAAGTATTAACTTAATAATGCTACACGATAGAAAGTAACGATCAGCGCGCCACAAAATTATGCTGAACTGCATCGGTACTACAGGTAACTAAAGGTGGCATTATCATCGAACGATAAGTCCACTTTATCGATAGTAAGTAACAAAAAAAAAGCTTTAATAACTTATATATTTTATATAATATATGTATATACATAATGAAATACTTTTTTAGATTTCAATTGTTTCTTTTTATATTTCATGAGGAAATGTATCAATTCTTGTATCAATACTGTGCGTCTATTATTTCAACAAAGTATCACTTTTTCAATTTTTTTCATACAAACTATTATCTTTCAGTTCTCTCGAACGGAAATAATATTTTTATTAAAACAAGTAATTCAAAAATTTTACGTAGAGGACACATCGAGTATCTGTTTTTTTTTTTAACTTTCTAAATAACTCAATCACTCATATAACTTTTGTAATTGAAGAATCTATAGTTCATCAGTGAAAAATAAACTTTGTTTCAATAAAAAAGAGTTTTAATAATAAAGTTACCAAAAAAAATTTTGTATTCATGCATGTAGCAGGGATCGAAAAATAAATGATAGAAATAATAATATAAATAATTTACGAAATGAGTTTCTTAAATACTTAAATAGCATCTAACAACTGTCAATTAATAAAATTAAGAAAAACTTTTCCTGTGATCATATATAGTAGGGTTCGAAGAATAGTAAAAGATAAAATATTGAAATAAATAATTTAAAAATGTGTTGAAATAGTTAACAACTGTCAATTTACGTATTGAAATAACGCATTTTTAAATTATATTGACGAATAATATTTCGTATGACAGTTTGTGTCGTTACAAGCCTTATTTACACCCTTCTATAGTAGGTACACAATAGTATTCGGCGGCGAGACAAATAGAGTTGAAAGCTCGCCACATCCGCCACCTGTTTTTTACTTTTTTGATTCGTACTTACAACGCAGCATGATTTTTTATTATCACTAAGTTGGTGAAAAATTTTCAAAAAAATAAACAAATAACAAAAAATCAATGTCTGAAGTTAAATGAATTGTAATTAAAAAATTAATGTTCCCAAAATTAATGAAAATACAAGAACAAAAAGAAATAAAAATCATTCCCCAAATTTCGGAGAAGAAACCGTCTAATCAACTCATTACAAAAAAATTTGTAATTTCTAATATTATACCTGTAAGTTGGATGCACGATAGATCAATAAATGAAATTGGTTTGTACAGAATAAACAAACCAAAACCACGATACTTGCTACATTAATTTTTTTATTTTTTCTTGTTTTCGTTATTTCCAAAGCGAAATATACGCTTATACAATTTCAGTATGCACACATTATCCACAATTTATACACACTGCACCAATACATGGTCATCGTGTATAAATAATAGCACCTCCAAATTTCCGCAAAAGCATGCAGGTATACATTTTTTTTTCTTTTTTTGTAATAATAATTGCTTGTAACATAGGTATATATAACCCATATACGCTGGAGGCCATCAGGCGCGCGTGATGTGGAGACCCGACTCCCGTCCGTATTGTACACCTATGTAACAGCGCGTGTGTTATTAGCGCGGCAGGTCCCCTTTGATCTTTTCGTTCGCTCCTCGCACCTGTCGATTTCTCATTCTCTCGAACCGCGTGAAATTTTTCGACGTAAAATTTACCGATTCCCTACATATACCAATTGCTGCACACATAATGGCACGTAATATATAATATACTGGGGTGTGGCAAGGGGACCGCGCGTGTTTTTGATAGATCTAGCTTTGATTTTGTGGTGAGCTATGAGAGACTCTCAGGATCAATATTACGTCCGCCTCGCGTGTAGATGTAGTATAATAGCCACCTCTACACGCGGGTCTTTTCCCATATGTATATACATTGTATAATATACACGACAAGCGCCGCGGATCTCTGAATAACGTGATTATTGTTGCTTCTTTTTTTTCTTTTTTACTCCGACACGAAGACGGTACCTAGGTATATCATTAGAGTGGCCTTTTTTTTTTTATTTTACGTTCCGCAGCTAAACCTAGCTGCGACTCCGTTGTTCGGGTTTCATGTGAAAGAAGCATTTAGGTCCCAAATAATACGTAATTGAGAAAAGAAGAAAACCACAGACTGGCGTGTTTCGTAAATTTTGAGGGATAAAAAGGAAATGTGCCGTTTCGTGTGTAACGTTGGGGCCCATAAAATTTCGATTCGACGGGCACAAGTGTATAAATACACTTAGGCATGGCGGAAATGTGTGAAACGTCGAGCGATGAAATAATAAATGACAATAAAACGATAAAACGACGGGAGCGGTATTGTATACGCGCGTAGGACACCCTGTACAAGCAATGCGTTTTAGCACGCACGTGTGTAAATGTAAAGTTACGTCCAAGAATCTTGTAAGCAGACGTACAGAAAGTGGACAGGACACTTAGCAATTTTTATACTCCTCCATAAAACATCTTACAGGTGAGAAGCTAAATTAAAAAAAAAAAAAATGTTTCATGGAATAAAATTGTTCAAGTTGCGGCTTCATTTGTGCTTGTCATTACATACAGCTCTATTCAACATTTACTAATTTCAGACCAAATGTATTTTCCATTCAGTAAAATAATTTACACCAAGCCAATGTATACAAAATCGCTTAAATGAATTACAGTTTTTTTTTTTCATGCAACAGGGAAACAATGAATAGTGTAAGTAAATCTTTAAATTTGGATTCTTATTATTATTAATGAACAAAACTTGTTCTATAAATATAATTTTCAAACAAAAATCTTTATTTTTTTCTTTACTATCAAGTCAGTTCCACAGTATTCTCATCACATTTGTACGAAAAAATTACTAGTATACTATAGTCCTGGTTTCTATTCATTTTCATCGATAGCTCTTAAATGGACGTTGTAAATGGTTCGTTTTCCCCAGTATTCTTTTTCAGATACTCTAATAGTTAATTTGATATTTCCCAAATATACTGAGCAGTCAGAATTAGGTCTCACGTAGAAGCAGACCGTATACAAGGCCATTTCTAACTCGGGTGATGTGCCAACAAGAATTAATTTATTCGCCGTTACTTGATCGCCATCAATTGTAATGTTTTTAAAAGTTACGAGCTGTATTTTATGATCCTGCAAACAAAAAGACGTTTATGCGATCATCAAATTAGCAGTGTAATTAAATCGAAAATTGAAATGCGAACGTAACATAAACGTATTTTTGAAATTTCCACGTATTATAAATGAAATAAAACAAAGATGGCTTACGTAGACTGTATTAAAATTGGTAATCCATTTTAACCCTGAAAGTTGGAGCCTATTCTGTTCTTCCATTTTTGCTGCATAGATCCAATTAAAAGGGCCATCGTTTTCTGTGGTGATAAAAACTGCCTCGAATGCACTGCTTCCTGCTACATAATGATCTGATCTCCAGACCGAGTCAAACCACAGATTTTGCAAACTTTTTTTGTACTCGTCGATATCATTTTTAATAAAGTCCTTGCTAGCGAGGAAATTCATCGCGGTGGATAATACTTTCGTTTCAAGGAATGTGTTGAGCAGCGAGTTCTGCTCATCCAAATACAATTTCTTTTTATTACCATGCAAATCTGATTCTGGTAACTTGGAATTATGGCACATTTTTAAAAAGGTTTTGGTCGTCTGAACTTCAAAGAGATTCGATTTAACAGTGAAAAATCTGCAATTGGGAAAAATAAAAAAAAATAAAAGTTGCAGTGATTTTATTAAATTTATCAGTTAAATTAAAAATGGTAAAATCAGCTTACTTTTCGTCTTTATTTTTGTACGGATGCGTTTGAACATTCAGGTCCGAATTATAGTCTTGATCAAAAAGTGTCCGAAAAAGCTGAACTAATTCGTCATCTGTAATTCGTCGTTCTTTTGGACTTTCAGGTTCCACTACTGTTTATATACGATTAATATTTAGTGTTTCCTTCTATTTAAATATAAGTAGTTTTAATTTTTAATTACGTAATTAAAAACTTTCTTTTATCAGGGAAAGTAGTGAAACCGCTCATTAATCGGCTGTATTTTGTTTACAAGAAATAAAAGAATCTAGTACTTATGGGAATTAGTAGAGTTGCACATAGAGTTTACAGTTATTTGTTAGTGTCGTCAAGTATATACTTCTAAATTATCTAAAAAAGATTGCATCACAAAACTTTTAATTGGTAAATAAAATAACAAATATTCAAATTTCAAGACAAGGTGTAGCTTCTTACAAAATCAAGAAGAAAAAAATAACTTTTCAACAACAAGGATAATGTGTAGATTCTTAAAAACAAATATTGTTTAACCTTTGGAAAATTATTTTTAGTTATTTATAACAAATCAAAGTTTTCGTTTAAAAATATACACGATAGTGTCTGATCTTGAAGTTTAAGTTTCGGCTGATTTTCGATTTACGATACCAAAAAATTTAACAAAGACTGTTGTTAAAACAAATAGCTGAATATGTAGTGACTATTGTAATTTTTAATATAAAAAATAATATTACCTTTCTTGGTACCTCCTAATGATGGAACAATCTTTCCGTACTTTAACGTACCTGATGGTAACCATGTTCGAATAGGTTGCTTAGGCCCGCCATGAACGACATTACAATCTGCAATAAAAAAAATTTCCATACTTTAATGCTTTCCACACAACTACTTAGTAAATTTAAGAACAATTAATTTTTTTTAAATCTTTGTTTCGAATTTATTTAAAATATTATTAAAAATAGAAAATACAGTCAGTTGATGATTTTGTGTTTTAAGTTATGAACTTTAAAAAACAATTATAGCACTGTTTTTACTCACCGAAATTGCAATGTATAAGACACACTTAGTGGTACTTGCCAACAACTTGATACAACGACAAAAGAGGAACCAAGAAGCCGAAGATTTTCATGTTCTCTGGTTGAATTTTACTTTTCGTTTTCGTACTATCAAT